TTTTCTTCATTCTTCTTTGCTCTTGATGAGGAGAGACCCATCGTTGCATCTAGATGGCAGCTTGCTAGCTTTTAAGATCCCAGTCGCTACTCGCTCTTCATTCCTCTTGAGTAACTTCTGCAAAGGCAGAGCTGCATCTTCTACCTTTCTTAGATTTTCTAAAGGGCTTGTCACAGGACTGGCTTTATAGTAGGTCCTCAGTAAACACTCTGTGAATAGACCATCCACTCTGGGTGGCCCTGAGCCTGTAAGGTATGGAAGGAACCATCCAAACTCTTGTGAGCACTCTGCATGTGAGAATCTCCCAGGTGTACAAATGAGATCTAGGGCTTTGGGACAGAGCAAGGTACTTGGCTTTCTTATGGCTGTGGCCTGGGTCTTGGTTGTTCTGTGCTCTGGCCCATGAGCTAACTGAACATAGAAAAGAAAGAGCATGTCACACACCAGGCAGAAGAATGACTTCCTCTTCCTGAAAAGAGGAGCAATGTGCCAATATTTGTGGGCACATGAGCTGTCTCTGTCCTTCAGACTTCTGAGGTTTCAGGAATTTAAGTGTTAGGTGTTCAATCAGCCTCAGAGACAGGGCTCTTGGGTGGTAAATTTCACTTCAGTGTCACCAAGACCATGAGAGCAAGCTATTTCATAAGGAGCCGAGTTCCCTTCTATGCTTAAAACACTTTCCTGTGGCTCCTTTTGCCTCAGGATAAAGTCTAAGCTGAGTGTAGCAAAGGCGTTATGATTTGGCCTTGCTACCCTTCTTGCTTCATCTATCACCATTCTTCACCTTGATTCTGGTGTCAACCCAAACCAACTTACTTATTATTCCTTGAAATCATTATATGTTCTCTCTTACCTCTGGACCTTTGTGTATGCTGTTCCCTCTGCTTTGAATGCTGTCCACTATCTCATATCACAAACTCCCTTTCACCTGGCAGTGGTCCTTGGAGACTTAATGCTAGCATCACTTCCTTCAGGAAGCCTTCCTTGAACCCCTTGGCTGGGTTAAGGGCCTCTGTAGATACCTATTGCCACAAGCTCCTTGAGGACATGTACTGGGACTCCATTTAATCCAGATCCTGGTAGAAAATCAGTGTCAATCAAAGTTGAATGAACAAACATACATGAGTGTATTTGAGAAGAGACTGGAAACCACCTGGCAAGAATGCTGTAAAGGGTATTGGAAAGTTCTAATATTTCCAGATTCCAAGATTCAACAATCCTTTAATTCTTGACTGAAGAATTAGATTCAGGCTGCTCTCCACTTGGAGCCCAACCCCCAGCCTGCCACCCTGCGCTGTGCCCCTGAGTGTTTGTTCTCAGACGGGTACATACACTTGTTCTGAACATAACCAGGAAAGCAATTTACAAGAAATAATTGCCGGTCGATGTGTGCTTCGGAGCAGCAGTGAGTTCAGACTATTTTTGTCTTTGCGTCAGCCCACCCAGCTTCTTGCTCCTTGGCTGCCCTGGGGGAGGGGGCTCCTGTGCACAGGAGGGGCAGTTTGTTTCTAACTCAGGACTCCAGACAAGTCCAGCTGGTTGTAAACCAGCTCTAAGGATTGATTGAATTCAAATGAGAAGCTGAACTTGGGGGATAGGAGTGGGATCTGGCATGGGTAGGTCAGGGTAGGCAGTACACACATTCTCTCCTCCACCTATGGCCACTCCATCCACACAGGACCCTGCTGGGAAAGTTCTACCAGTTCTTCAGGGCCCTGCTAAGTGTGAGGTCTCCTCCTGACCTCTCCCACTTACAGTCCTCAAAGCAGTGTCTTTGTTCTTCTTGCCCAGACATGCTCAAAGGATGGTCCAGACCAGCAGCAACAGCATCACCTGGAACTTGTTAGAAATACAAATTCTCAGGACTTAACTTCAAACCTACAAAATCAGACAGAGGGGAGGGGAGGCTTTAGCAATTTATGTTTTATTAAGACCTACAGGTGATTCTGGTGCCTACTGAAGTTTAGAACCACTGCTTTAGGCCATTGATGATCCCTTGAATTTTTACAATCTACAGATCTTCTCCTTCTATCAGACTGAGCAGTCTAAAGGCAAAGGCATCACAGAATTCTTCCTTGTAATCCCCACCCCCTCCAGATGGCCCAGCACAGAAGGTACTCAGAGGAAAATTTAATTTTACTAAAGGGGCCACCAAGGACAGAGAAGAGATCTGTCCCATGAAAAGTCACTGAGCATCCTTGACTAAATCTTCCCATCGACCACCCCATTCCCCACTTCCCTCCACCCCCACCCAGTGCCCTAGGCTCTCTCCACAATAAATAATTTGCAGCCCTGATTCCTGCTAGACTCTTGCTGTGTGAACAGGTTGTCCTCTGACTGGAATGTCTTCTGACCATGTCTCACCTGGGAACTTTGACTCATCTTGGATGATTCAGTTCAGACACCACTTCTTCCTCTCTTAAGCTTTGTGGAGGGCTCTCATAGGGCCACTTGGAGGGCAAGAGCTATGTCTGATTCATCTGTTTCTTGCAGTCTCATAGGTCCTGGCACAGAATACACGTGGTTCAAACCCACTAGCCACTTCTCAGAAGGAAGATTGGGCAATCTACTTCCATAGTGATACCGCCTCAGAAACCCAAGGAGGGGTTGCTATGAGTTGAATCCGACTCAACAGGAGTGTTTGGGTTTTGGTTTTTTGGAATGCAGTTAGTTGATAAAGGTGGTGAGTTTAGAGTGGCAGAAAAAAGTACCCTCTCCCCTATACACACATGACAACAAATGAAGTAGATGAGAACCAAGGTCACCCCAGGGCATCTGTGGGTGACTCACCCAGTCTTGCCATCCCCATCATGTGCCCTTAGCAGGCTCAAGCTCTATGCAGAGATATGTATGAGTGACCATGTCACTGTACCAACTCCAGCAGCATGTCATGTCTTTGTCAGAAATGTTAAGGGCTGCTTCTCAGTGGCTAGTGAGTCTCCCTGATCATTGCCTTACATTTCCAAAGCAAAACCCAAAGCCATTACCAAAGTTAGGAGGAGGGGAGCAACTGGAGAGACAAGTGGCAATTAGCATTCTGCCCTACAATTCCTTTGCTAGTAGCTTAATAATAAAACTTAAAACAAAACAAAACAAAAAAACCTAACACATGGTACTTTCCATTTGCCCAAATACTTTGGATGCAGTAAGGAGTTTAATCTTTCCCAAAACCCTATGACGTGACACTGCTGTTATCCCTGCTTGTAGGAATGAGAGATCATCACTACACTAGATTGAAAAATCTTATCTGTAATTAAAAAAAAGTCTTTATAGCACTTTCATATTTATGAAGACAGTTCATATCTGTCTTAGGGAAGGTTCTGTAGAGAAGCAAAACCAGTAAAATATATATAGAGAGAGACTCGGAAGGAAGGTTGGGCAATCTACTTCCGTAGTGATACTGCCTTGGAAACCCAAGAAGGGGTCGCTATGAGTCAGGTCCGACTCGATGGCACATAACAACAACATAGCAAGAGAGAATGAGAGAGAGAGAGAGAAATTTTGTTCAAGGAAATGGCTCACACAGTTAGAGCAGCTGGCAGGTCCCTGGGTCAAATGTCCAGCTAGAGGCTTTTTCCAACTCCAGCAGCTGCAGGGGCTGATGAACCCAAGATCAGCAGGCAGTACAACAGGTTCCAGATCCACAACAGAAACGTTTTGAATTTTCCCAAGACATCCATATATAGATATTGTAAGCAGGCCACACCCCTAAGGTAGCTCCCTTTCAACTGATTGGCTACTCAAAGCATATCCCACCATGGAGGCGATAACCTCACATCAGATCTCGTCATGGGAAGGACCACACCACAGCTGCTTAAACCACTTAGAATCATGGTCCAGCCAAGTTGGCGCACAAACTTAACTATCAAAATATCAATGACCTCACTGAAAACTTGTGATAATCCAGACAAGGGGAGCTCAAGGGGAGACTTTATTAAGCCCACAGAGTCAGGAATTGGCTGATTCTTCACTCTGGTGCCTGTGCTTGGATCACTAATCATTAAATTCTCTCATTTATTCATTCACTCTTTCATCCATCTAAGAAACTGAACAATGTAAACATGACTGGCCCCTGTGCATACTGCATTCCCTCTCATTCTATTCCTTGGCAGGGAGAAAGGCTCACTTCAGGAATTGAGTCACCAGCTTCTGGTTCTGATCCTCTTCCCAAAGCCAAAAAAACCCCAAACCTGTTGCCATGGAGTCATTTCCAACTCATGGTGACTCCATGTATATAGAGGAGAACTGCGCCATAGGGTTTTCAAGGCTATGACCTTTCAGAAGCAGATTGTCAGGCCATTGAGTGGGTTCCAACCACCAAACTTCTGGTTAACAGTTGAGTGTTTGACAGTTTGCACCACCTAGAAACTCCATTCATCTCCCCAGGGGCTCCAAAATACACCTGTACTGAGTCAAGGAGACCAAGTCAGAATTCTCTGACCCCCCCAGCCTAGCTTAGGCTCCTCTGAGCCCCCTACAGGTTTGGAGTTTCTCTTTGTGACAGCCTTGCTTGCATGGGGCTCCCATTAGGCCAGTCAGAGCAATAAAGATGAGTTCACAGCAGTACTTGGGTGGATTTGCTGAGAAAAACCCTCCTTTACCCTACTACATCCCAGAGTCCTTTTGATCATACCCTATGCAGCTCCCCACCCCCACCTTTCACCATACAGAGACTCCAAAAGACGATGGTGTGGAGACATTTATTGAATGTTTATGGGGCTGGTCCATTTGGGTCTGGGGGGACAGGCGCCTCCTCAGGACTGCCCGGAATGTCACTGCTGGTCACTGTGGCCATGAAGCAGTGCTGGAGGAGCCGCTTGGGATCTGGAGCCTGCCCCTCATTGCAGTCCAGTGGTCGGTTCAGGAAGGGGTAAGTTTGTCCAAGAGGGCTCACTTCTGTCACCTTCACCGTGATGCCTGTGTTCCCATGTTGGTGGTCAGGGTGTGCCTCCTCAGAACCTGGAAAACAGCAAGCTGAAAGCATGGGGCTTCCACTTGCAGCCCCTTCCTTCCCCAGCAGGTTTACACACCCTAGCTAATTTCACACAGTGCTTACCTTGGGCATTCATGACCTATTCTGATACAACTTACTTGGTTTCTGCTCCACTATACCTTTTTGTCACTAAATCCCATGAACACTTCTAAATCCTCATCTCCTTGACTTACCAGAAGCATATGACATAGCTGAACATCCCTGCTTATTGGATAACAAGTGCATCAAGTGCTCAAACCAGAAATTTGAGTCATTTCTCACACCTTCTCTTTTACACCTTCACAAAGCCTAACATTTCACCAGGTCTTTGGTTTAGGGGTGGGCACATGCCCTAAGGTAGTCCAATCAGAGTAGAACTCGGACCTTTTTTTTCCCCCCATTTCTGGTTGAAAGAATAGACAGCACCCTCATCCTCTTGACTGGGTGAGAACAAGAAAGCATGTAGTCCCAGGGACTGCTGGCAGACAACTAACTACCCTGAGGGGGATAAGAAAAAAAAAAACCTGAGGAGAAAGCCAACACTATATAGAAGGCAGAGCTGAGAGAATCTCAGAGAATTGAACTGTAAATCTGGAAGACTGTGAATTTCTATTCAAACCAAGCCTAAAGCCCATCTTACTTCTGGACTTTTCACCTACTAAGCCAATATACTTCCTTTTTTGTTTTTAACTTTTTATTTGAAATAATTTAATACTCACAAGATATTCCAAAATAGTACTGAGAATTTCTGTGTACCTATCATCTACCTTTTCCCAATTATAACATCTTACATAGCCACAGTACATTTTCAAAACCAGGAAATTGACATTGATAGAATACTATTAACTGAACTACATATCCATTCAATTTTACCAGTTTTCACATGCATTCTTTAGATAGGGAGGAATATGTGCTATGATATTTTATCCAATGTATGTTGCTGTTGTTGTTAGGTGCTGTTGACTTGGCTCTGACTCATAGTGACCCTATGTGCAACAGAATGAAACATTGGCCATCCTGTGTCATCATCACAATCTTTGTTATGTTTGAGCCCATCATCGCAGCCACTGTGTCAATCCATTTTGGTGAGGGTCTTCCCCTTTTTTTGGCTGACCCTCTGTTATAGCAAGCATGATCTCTTTCTCCAGGGAGTGGTCCCTTCTGACAATATGACCAAAGTGTGTGAGACAAAGTCTGGCCATTCTTGCTTCTAAGAAGCATTCTAGCTGTACTTCTTCCAAGACAGATTTATTCCTTCTTCTGACAGTCCTGGATATTTTCAGTATTCTTTGCCAATACCACAATTCAAATGCATCAATACTTCTTCAGTCTTCCTTATTCACTGTCCAGCTTTCACATG